GTGGCGTAAATAGTCTTTTCCAGAGATGAATCTCTGTACTACTACAGAACTTGTTTTCCTTTAATATGTGGCAACACCAGCACAATAAATAAAGGATTTACCACATTCCTCCTACATACGTCGGGAACAAACAGGAAATATTTATGCCTGCATTTTCTCACGCAGCTCTGTCAAGCTGTCGTTTATGCTCAAACATCAAGATTAATAAACAGCCTATAAAAGTTGTGTATGTGACTGTTCAGTGCGTATTCACTACCAAATCAAACAGCTGACACTGAGGCACAACAACAAGGGCATCATAATAATGTTAAGCATAAAATGGAGCATGCATAAACACCATAGTATCTAGTGGTTTGGTCTTCTGCATCAAGTAGGGTCCATACACACAGTCCAGTGGAGACATGACATTGGTCCTGTGGAATAAAATGGTGGAATGTCCTTTGGAATAGACAGAGGGAAAATTCTTCTGCTTCTACAGCTATTCTAAGGTTTGGCCTGCTAATGATGTGTGTGGGATGTAAACGATGTAACAATCATTCCATGGCAATGTTTATTAGAACATAATCCTCAGGAATCTAAACACAAAAAAGTGTATTTACACAAAGATGTGTTGGTGTCTGGAACAAGCTTTCCAGCCTCATTGGGGAAGATGGTGCTTCAAGTTGCAGCTAATTCAAAGATCTAGCTGGGATCAGTTATTTGTAACTGAGTATTATGGGTCACAGTCTCCTCTTATCTGTAACCTTGACATGGGTCTACTGTTTATTAATATAATGGGTGGCATTGCCATGATCTCTGATCTTCTTATGAAGTTGTAAAATTCCTTATTGAACGATAACTTCCCAGTTTTATTCAGTTGTTTATTATGTATGACATGCTTAACATAATACTTCCATTTTTAAATTGTCTTCTGTTTATTGCATAATAGGATCCCTTTGCTTTAGTAGGTCTGAGTCATCCTGCATGCCTTTGACGACTTTAATAGTGATAAACAGGTCGTGTCATACATGCGAGAAGGAGGTAGCCTTGTGGGTAACTAGACAACTGTGAAACAAATCTTTAAAAAACATTTCCTGTTGTTTTCATTGTTCTGAATAAGACACAAGTTAAAACATTAGTTTCTTCTGGAAGATTACGTTTCAGTGTTTGTCTAAACAAGATTATAGACCAGCTTTGAAAACATTTGCCACTAATGTTTTGGCAGAGATGAAAACTGTTGTTCACACATTTTGTGAAGAAGAGCATTTTGTGAGGAAGTGTAATCCATTCTATGGATTGATCTACAGTAGCTTCCTTTCTGAATGGAGTGATTAGCAAGCTGTGTGGTTATCTACTTGATTGCAACGGTTTTATTTTTAGTTTGTCTACATTCTGTGCCAAACAAATCAGGCTATCATTTTAATTTTTTTAATACTTTTTGATGCTTCTGACAAGTTGTTATTAAAATATATTTTTCACAGTGCCACAGTCTTGATCATAGCCTGCTCTTGCAATTTTTAATCTGCCTCAAGCTATAAGGATATAATTGTGAATCCCAGTTCTTTGAGCTTCTTCTTGCACAGTATAAGAAAGTCAGTGGCTCTGTCCTCAGCGCCAGGATCAGCTACAGGAATTGGAGCAATTGGAAAAATATAAAGTAAATCTCTTTTATAGTATGAATGTGGTTACCTCCTTATTGAGATGAAAAGCCATAGACTCTTACAGGGATGTCCTCAGTTAAGTTGCTTTATTTGAGCTAAAAAGCCTTGCTGAAGATTTACTTTAAATATACCAAGGCATTATAAATGCAACCAATGAGCACTGGAATCTCTAGCATTAGTTGCGGCTTTTAATGGCTGTCAGTACGTGCTAACAATTGAAGATTTTTACACAACTTAGGTAAATAATAGAAGGTAGAACATCATTGTACAGATAATCGGCTGAAAAAAGATAAGGATGGTTTGGTTTAAACAATCTCAGGACAGAAGTAGAGAAGAAAAATGTAACCACAATACAGTAAATATTTTTTTATTTCTGTGGCTGGTCTCATCAAACTTGCAAAGTCCCCTTGTACCAGGATTAACTTCTTTTGAAGCTGTCCAAGGAAAAACATGATACAGCAGAAGAGCTTACAGATCGAAGTGTGGTAAGAAGGAAATGGACACTTACATTATTTATAGAAAAAGTACAAAAACTTTGAGGAAATGGCATTTTAAAACAAATTTAAAATATTCCCTCGACGATGTCAACATAAATTACATGTATGTCATACATATACATGAACCGAATTCTAGCATTTATAACTGAATGAAACCAATATTAAGAAAGTTTTAAAAGTGCCATAAACACTTTTCAAAGTCAGTCATAAAATACCATTGGAGAAAATTAAAATTCCTAAAGATCTGTTTTTGGCAGTGTTGGAAATCTAGTTTGTGCAAGGACCTAATGATTGTACTAACAAAAAACATTCCTGAATAATTTACCACTTTCACTGATGGAAAACAAATATTCAAATTACAAACCTGCATACAAACACATGAAAACATTTTAAAGTAAAACATTCTAAAAGCCTATACCGTATCATTTCTAAAACCAAAGGTTTAACTACACTTAATTGGCTCCTTAATGAGTGGAGATTAAAAGAGCCTCCAGTACTCATCATTTTGAGATCAGCTAACATGGCCTCACTTTGAACACCTTTTGTTCAATGGAAATTCTTACACTCACAGTGGAAGACACAATGATGAGAGTAATTTCTATCAGCCTCTGCTTTACACAAAGGAATTCAGTGGTCACAATCTAAAAGTTATAAAAAACATAAAACCTGGACAGTGTCCACAGTGGGATTTGGCACTAAGGGACTTTTAGAAAAAGGCATTAAGTCAACATGTACCACCTGCACGAACATCAGGCCCTGCACAGAAATCAGAGGCTCTAAATTGTCACACGGTGTTCACATGCATACAAGTCTAAAGGAGTAGTTTGCTGCATTATCTGAAAAAATACAACCAGATGTGCATTGGAGAAACCAAAGGACAATTAGCTGATCACTCTGTGGTTCGTATACAAAAGAATTCAAGTTAATACCACAGTGTTTCCAGATGCCTGTCACTTCAATAGCATTAATCGCACCTTTCTTCAAACAAAAGGAACAAGAAATGTTCTTTACACTGGGAACATTGGAACCCATTGTAATGAACCTTCAACTCCGATGTCGGAGTGCAGACATTTTAAACTTTGCTTCAGTGTTCTCACCAGCTGATGAAACATCTTCAATCAAATTATTTTTTTGTGTGCAACATACCAGTCATCCTTTTATTTTTAAGTTAGATATTTACCTAAATAAAGAGCTGGTGAGGTACAATGATCTGGTTGGGGAACAGGTAAACGTTTATTCTCTGCTGGAAGGAAAGGAAGAGACACTTGTCTGTGGATCCTTCAAGACGTCTTCAAGGCTCTACAGCCAAAACACTGTGTCTGTTTTCCCTTCCTTTCAGCATGGAATAAACCTTTACCTGTTCCTTTGCAGCCTTCACATGCTGATGCCTCTCCCTACTCAAACTTCACGATGCTGCTAGGTCAACACCAGTCCCTATTGCCCACAGAATCTTTGGTTTCATTTAATGTGTTTTCTAAGTGATTAAACTGGGCAAATTATTTGGATAAGGAATCCAATCACTTCTTTATTTAGGTCTCAAATAAGACAGTATTAGGCAATAGAAAAGTACCTTTTAAAACCTGGAGGACACTGACCCTCGAGAACCAGGTCAGGTACCCCCGATTTTACCCCCACCCTATTTGGGGGAGCGGGTGTTTGTTTGACCTTGTGGTCTAGTCATTTAGAGGTGCATCTGAAGAGCAGTTTGAATCTGATGTCTGCTTGTACTCTCTTGTGTTGTTTACAATAAACACTGATACATTTCCTGTACACCATTCCTGACAAACTGCTTTGTGGACAGTGTAATTGCATTGTTCTTTAATGACTAATTTTATTTTATAGATTTTCTTATAAAATATCTCAAAGTCCTCTTGCCATATTGCATTTTGTTTCCTATTAACTATCAATTAATGTAACACATTAGCAAATGAAGCACAGCTAGACAAAGCTCTTTAAATTTCAAGCAGTTGCAAGAGCCTGATGAATTTTCCACATCTAGAAAGTGTGGAGCGAGGTTAGAATAACAAAACGGAGGCCATGCTAAGCAGGGAGTCGGCAGTGATGAGAGTGGGCTGGTTAATGAGCACAAACAACGCAGTGGTAATGAGGGAGGCTGCAGATTAAGGGAAAGCCAGAGAACACACATGCCTTCAAATTCCAAAAGGCAATTATTTAGTGCCCAGACTGCAGGAAATGTTCTTCTGGTAATAGGAATGCTCTCAGTTATAGATTTCCCCTTCTTTAGTTTTAAGACCTGTAGACCCCAATTTCCATGTCAGACCTGGGTCCCCGTTTGTCAGCAAGTTAAACTGCTGGGGAATTATGTATAGTCATGTCTTTTTAATAAAATCAGGGACGTAGTTACACTAATTGAAATTCAGAAGATGTTGCATATTGAATAACGAGTATTTATATACTGTACCAGTGATAGTCCACAAATAAGATCTGACAATTTTTACCTCAAAGCAATCATGCCTCCCCCCCCGGTTTATCTGTGAGCTGCTTGAGTCATCTCCATGCAGACTTCACAGGCTGCTTGTTAGGAAATACGAGCTAGAAGTATATCTCCTGTCTTTTTATAATGATGTCTAGTCTTTACTTGTATCATTCACCATGTTATTAGGATCATTTTTATCTATTCCACTTTCTTTCCTTTGATTGTCACTGCATAAGTGTGCACGGCTGGGAAATCTGAGGAGAAACAAGACAGGTGTGAGGAAACCAGGAAACTGTTCTTCACATCGCCCACAGCTCAAGGATGACATTTGACCAAACCGCTGCTGGTGTGACGGACCTGGGTTCCCAAGGATCTGGGATGTGGAGACCCATTTTCTGTGACGCTCATGGATGTTTGGTTTTCCAGTGGCAGGGAGAGACCCAGGAGTTCTGCCCCAATGCCAAGGTGGTCCTGGTGGGATGCAAGCTGGACATGCGGACAGACTTGAATACGCTGCGGGAGCTGTCGAAGCAGCGGCTCATACCCGTCACACACGAGCAGGTGAGCCCCGCCAAGCCCCCTCGGGGTCTTCCAGGGGAACGGCGAACCAGAACAACCTGCTGCTCTACACGACCATCGTGAGTTGCCCCTGTTCAGAGGGGTCCCCTGTTCCCGTCCTGAAGGTCCTTTGAGGTTGTTCCCCCCCATCAACAGTACAGCGAGACTTTCCAAAAAAGGTTTTAAACTACTTTGTCATAGCAGTGTAGTAAATATACAATCAAAATTTTAGTTTTGGATTTGTGTTTGCTGATCACATCTTTCACCTACAAAATTGTTCAGTTTGAGCATTCATGTTTTGATTTAAAATGATTTAATTATCTGAGGAAAATCTTTGGAAGGAGATTAATAATTTGCCAGTGCAATATATTTAGCAAAGGTGGCATTATATTGCTGGGAGACAACAATTTTCCACACTTAAATTGGGATATTAATTGGAATATTGTGATACAGAAGCTTAACAAGGTTGAAATAGTTGTCCTAATCCATTAAGACTTAATGCCACTAAGGGAAATAAACCTATTCTTTTCAAACAGCCAGGATATTAAGAGAGTAGAAGTGATAGGGAATAGTGTTTTTTCATGTATACTTTAACTCTTTTTATATGTTGAGCCTAAAATTAGAGTTTATAGTTTTAGAAAAGCAGACAGAGGAATGGAGTGGAGCTTGCCTGGTGAACTGTGACCATATGGATACAGATTCATTGGAAGAAGGATGGTTATACTTCAAACACAATGTTGCAGGCTCCAAATGAATTCATTCCTGGAACAAATTAGTCCAGGTGTAAAAAAAAATGTGACAGCAATGAAAAAGGAGAAACAGCTAAGGCAACAAATAATGCAAAGCTATTTTTTCAGTGCTTTTTTCAAAAGTAAGAACTGCAAAAGTGGAGGTAAACAATTTTTGGGGATGTAATGAGGGATTAATAATATTTCATACATATTTTAGAATAATGTCAAAACATGCCTAATGTTTTATAATGAGCTTTGTCTGTGGTGGGTAATATTACCTTAACAACACTGAAGTCCTGCAGGAACCAGGGAAGTTTACAACTAATTTATCACTAAGACCTCATGTCTTGCTTAAGGGTATGAAGGGACTTTATTAATAGATCCTGAACTCTGCACTTTAAACTCATGAATGAAAGCTGTGCCCATGCTTTGGAGCTCTGCAAATGTAAGTAGTTCATAAGTGTTAGACAACCAAATCACGAAACTATACAGTAGGTCTATCAGTCTTATTTTGATTACTGATGAAGTCTGTAAACTAACCTACTAAAACAAGCTTGTATGTTGTATGATATGATGTATAGAGATTTCAAAGGAAAATTGAGAATCAACCTTTTATGAAGGACTTTGCCACAATCTAAAAGGCTTTATCTTTTTTTAGGCCCTTGGTGGTCTTGATAATTGTCAAACACAGAAAAACAAAGAAGGGAGTGGGCATATACTTGGCAACTGAAATTTAACTTTGAGAATTACAAAGTGATCCACAATGGTAGAAGGAACATTAATCTCATGTGAGTAATTCTGAGCTTCAGGAAGCTTCAAATCAGGACTGTAGGGAAGCAGCAGGAAATCAAGCAACATATGTGAATATCCAGCAACCGTGTGAAATGTTAATCCAGGGAAGTTATTTTTAAGATTTATGGTGCCGTAGTAAGACTTTTAGAATACTGTGTTCAGTTTTGACCAGCATAGCGCAGTATATTTCAGCCTTAGAAAGAGTTCAAGGAAGAATGACAAGAATGATTCCTCGTCTCAGGGGACTGACCTATTCAGACAGGTTAAGGGAGCTAAATCTCTTCAGTCTAGAGTGAAGGGAAACTTTACTCAATTATAGGGTCTTAAGGTGCATAGATAGGTTTAAAATAGGAGCCCTACTGCAAGATGCTCTCTGAGAAGAACCAAGACTTGGAGCCTTACTGGAGCCTCAAAGGGAATTAATTTAAAATGGAGATACACACTGAAGCTATTAAACTACCAAACAAGCAAGAACACTGTACGGATCTCATTGATCCTTAATTTATGTGATTTCATTTTATAGTTGAGGGATTAATTAATTTAGGGTTTCTGTCTTTGGCATAGAACATGAAGGAATTTGTGCATTTTATACATTTTTTTAAAACATTTTCACTCTTAATTTGTGGCCATTTTTTCTTAAAGAATTTCTCTTCCTTGGAGCTATCAGCGGGAGACTGCGCAATGTGTTTACCATCTTCCTGAAATCTAAATTATAACTTGAATAAGTCCACAACAAAAAGGCCATCCTGCCAGTCAGAATTATTACTTTTTTTAAATTATAGTACTGTATGCAATATCAAAGGATTAAAGGTTTTCAGAGAAAAACGAATAAAAGTATACAATTTTTATATTTTCCCAGTTCAGTTAGTCCAGAACACTATTCTTTCCTGGATGTAAAAGTATTATGATTTATATTTTTCAGAGAGTTGAATACATCAAGAAACATTATTTGAGTTGAACTACAATTTGCTTAGGAAAAGGGATTCTGCAGAATTCTGAGTAAGATCTGGAAAGATCTGGGCTTTGAGGCTTAGAGGAATTAGAAATACTTAAATCGCATGCTTTTTACTTAAGTGAAGTATTTTAAATTATTTCATTTTTTTCTTAGTAGTTTTTGTTTTCTATTTTTAAACTCAAAATTATGTTTTCCTCCTCCAAAAGTCCTAATCTATAAAGGAAAATGTACTTATGTTCTGTGAATTAATGTTTTATTTAGATTTATAGTGGGTTAATGTAAAAGAAGAAGTACCTCCAGAATATACGAATATCATATTATATATTATGACAATAGATAGTGATACAAAGAGTGATACAGTATGATTTACTCTTTATATTAACCTATATAAAAATACATAAGATATAAGCCACTCAAATTAGTGGTGAAGTGATCAGTAATAATAATCAACACTGCTTTTGTGATTAACTTTCAATCAGTCACTAAGTGTTCCATGAAGCTCAGTCTACCGTTGTTTTCAGTGGTAGCAAAATGGTTAAGACCCTGTGAATTTGGAATACGATTGAAGCAAAGCCACCAGGACACAGGGGTAGCCTCCAAGGATAAGCCAAGATGACCCTTCATGCTCTGTTCACCCCCTCAGATGGATTACTGTGTTACTGCCACTCCAGTAGGAGTGTGCTCTGCATTTGAATGGTGACACAGAGTTAATATGATGTGAAGAGCCCATGTCACACTTTCGCTTCTTTTCCCTGCGTGAGCTGACATTTCTGGGATTCTTCCTCTCTGTCCTGCCTGTCCTTTGCTTTCATGCCTCTGTTGGAGTCTGTGCTGTGCAGCATGCAGTGTTTCAGGCTGAGCCAGTTTCCTTCCATTAAGTGGAAACACTGAATATTTTGTAACGCTGCAGGTTAGACCTGCGTCTAGTTTGCAGTCTAGTTTGTTTTGGCAACGAAGTGTTTGTTAAATTTACAGCATTATAAGTGTGTAATTCTGCTCTTTTCACTGCTGTTCCTCACCAGGGAAGCACACTGGCCAGGCAGATCGGTGCAGTAGCCTACGTAGAGTGTACATCCAAAGTGTCCGAGAACAGCGTCCGCGACGTGTTCCACATCACCACGCTGGCCTCTGTCAACAGGATACACAAGAACCTGAAGCGCAGCAACTCCAAGAGAGGACTCAAGCGTGTGTCCCAGCTGCCTGGACGGACTGAACTGTTGGAAAACCCAGAAATGAGGAAGGACCGGGCCAAGAGCTGCTCTATCATGTAAAATGTCAAAATATTATAATAAGGATGAACTTTGTATTTATTGTTAATTTTTTTTCTTGCACTGGCAACAACAGGGTGAGAAGAAACCTGAAAGAACAGTCCTTGCTTATTTGTTTTACTTTGCTAGACGCATTTGTTTTGGGTAACTAGGCCTCAGATGAAGAGTTGTGTTGGAGGGATGTTTAAATTGCTGAACGTGATTTCGCCCCACCTCTGGTCTTCATGAGTTCTGGATCAGCTGTGGCTGAGCATTTTTTGGGGGAAAAAAAACCAAACTGTTGGGTGAAAGCTTATTAAAGTGGGGAATGTCTGAGGAAGGATGACGTGACTTTTTGTTTTCTGGAGCAGTGAATGGCCTAGCAGTGGCAAACTCCATGTGTTTTGGGAGTTTGTATTGTGTAAGAAAAGGATAAAAAGGAAATGAGTGCTGGAGTGATAGCAAAAGTGAAAGGGTCAAGCCAGAAAGTGTTAAAAACCGTATCCTCCTTTCATGAATCCTGGAAAGGTTTGCTAAATCATGTTACGTACAGGCTAATTCATTAAACCACAAGTGCTTTCAAGATGAAGTCACTTTACATATTGTATCTTCTCTTTTAAACGTTGTTGATAATCTTGAGCTTGGTATGCTAAAGTTTAATATTTTTAAAAATGCTAACTCTTAAGAAATGAATGTGTTAACGATGAAGCACACTCCTGTGGTTTGCAATTTATACTGTTCATACCAGATGTGAAAATAAAACAGCTTGTATTGCACTAGGGACATTCAACATCACTTTGCTTTCTATACATGTGCATTAACAGCACAACCTGAGTGAGGAGAAGCAGCAGTTTCAGACGGCTCTTAACAAGTGGTCTTTCAAAAACTGAAAAACAGCTTTGTGTTTTCTCACATGAGTTTCTTCAGAAGCTCAGTGACTTGAATGGATTTAAAACGGGTTTAAGCTTGGGTAAAACCACCAGCCATAAATTATAAATCCTGGACTTGATGGCGTGTTTCCATTTGACACAAAATCTTCCTAACAAGAAAAGAAGCCTTAAGGATTTGTGATTTATGACTTGTAGGAAGGCTGAAGTTTTGATTCATAGGCCCAAGCTACTGCCTTGTTCATATGCAAATTAAACCTATATTAAGACATAGTACAGCATCTCAACTGAGAATCCCAAGGCAGAAATGCATCAAGGCATGTTTGAGTAGTCTGTCTGAAAGCTTGGTGTGCAAGGTGAGTTACTAAGAGGCTGGGCAAGCTTTACCTGCTCCCTGCCTGCTGGGCTGTGGATCTTGGGGACATCGTCTGACTCCTTTCTCTCAAAAGGAATGTGAGGTGGCGCCATGTTTATCTCTGAGTACTTCAGCTCCCAAATTGAAACCTGAGTCAAGGCACAAGCTTTTACTGTCATTTTACAACTCCTCCATCAACTAGAATGGCTATAAAATACTCTCCCTTACTGTGTAGCCCTCACCAGAGTTCCCATCAGTGTGCACCTTTTTAAGGTCACATTCTCCTGCATGAAAGGTGTAAAACTAGGCAAAATATCAAAATAAAAAGTATGCTATAGAAATTTCCTGCAAGGCTTAAATTAGTAAAGATTTTCTTTTACCATATCACACAATGTATAAGAAGTGTTTGATCTGTAGTGGGGATTTAGAGGAAGTTTCTTAAATTCATTATGATTGGATTAAAACCCTTGACTTTGCTTCTTTCTGATGAATAGGAAACAAAACAAAGTTGTTACTGAAAAATGATTGTGCTGATTTACAAAAAAATATATCCCTTATAAAAAATTTTAATTTAAAGCTGTTTAGCATCTATAAAATAGTTTAATATTCCATACACTGAAATTAGGACCATAAATTAATTTACATATATATTACATCTTAAAAGATTTTATTCAAATCTCCTTATGCTCGGATTAATGAAATTCAAATATTAGTTATACAGTCAGGTTGCAACCAGTTTCAGTATTTCAGTCTGAGAATTGCTTTGTAGTATTGCAAGTGGGTGCTGGGATCCCTTCTAATGTGTTATTTTCATGACAGATCTGATGCTGTGACAAATACCTTTGTCACAAGATGGGAGAGGGTTTAAGATTATAGACCTGAACCGAAAGGAAATATTTGCATTAAAAGAGTTTCTACTGGAAGTGTCTGAGGCCCTCATCATTAGAGGTACACTCAAGTTTTCAGAAAATGATCAGGCAGCTCCTGACATTTTGCAAGTCATGTTGGAGCACAGTTGGCCTGAGTGACACCCTGGGAGTACTGTATCTCCTGCTACTGTACCTTAGTAATAGATTAGAATTAAATAAACTCTGACTAGGACCATTTCCATTGAATAGTTTACCTGAGTTTTATACAATGACAGTATAATTTCAGAAGTACATTTTTTAAGTTGATGGGGCTGGGGTTGGAGGGTGGTCAGGGTGAAATCAGGCATCTGTATTTTTTTTTTCCCCAAAGTGTGACAGTCTGCATACTGTACTAGTTCAATCCTGTCAATCCTGTTTTTTTGTGGAAAGATTTCTTTTGAGCACCATCTCAAAGTGTCTTACTCAGTCATGTTCACAGGGTAGAACAACAATACAGTGGAGCAATAATTAAAAAGCAGCCTTGAGAAACACGCCTGAGACTCACCTCAAAGTAGCTTAATTCTCTGGCATCTGCATTCCAGTGCAAACAAGACCATGATTGTACAGTAACTGCGTGCTGATCCTCTAGACTTGCTGTTAAATTCTGTGAACTTTCTACCCTGTGCAAAATAGATGTAGTGCCAATATACCTCAAGCATTTATTTTGCTTTTTAAAAAAAATTGGTTTGTTTAATCAGTTGACATGAGAACTGCCACAGGGCCCTGACTGGATTCTGTCAGATAGCTGATGTGGGAGCTCAGGTGAAGTCATGCATGAACTTTAGATAATAATGCGAGTGAAATCTGGCCTGCAGCCAAAAGGGAGGGTGTGGGAGTTGGGTTAAGCACCGATGCTACCTGTTTGAGTTTCAGCAAGCCCTGTTCCTTCACAACAGCCACCAGCATCAACAGATTCTGACCCTGTGCCACAGACATCAGGCACCCATTGGTGTCTAATTGTAAAAAAGCTTTTCCTGCTAAGCAGCTGATAGAGTAACACAAATTAATCCTAAATCTTGACAAGATAATTGACTTTACCCAATAGTATATCCTTCTACTTGATTTAATATTAACAATTTTAGGTTTTGCTGCCTTTCAGAAACAGTGGTTAAAATATTTATTAATTAATAGAAGTGACAAATTGCCATTAACATTTTAAGCCTGGTTTTTATTTTTTTAAGCAATACATTTTTTATATTTTTGCAATATAATTGTTTTTTTGCCACTATCTGAAGGTCTTTTTCCCAATTATTTCCTTTTTCCTTTTTTACGGAGCACAGAGATTTTAAACTCGACAGATGGACTGGAAAAATAAGGGGTTCCAAAGTATTGCAAACAGTATTACGATACAATTATCTTGCTTCACTGGAAAACATGGTTTTATAATTACACTTGTCTGCTTTCACAGGAGCAGAGGAGAAATGAAACAGTGGTTTTCAACCACCAAAGGGACAATTCTCTGGGAAATTTCTTGCAGCTGTGTAATGTGAAACATTAAGGAATGTGCAATATTTGTGTTTTGGCAAAACAATGTACAAACACACAAAAAAATCTGCTTTTCTACAATGACCATCTTCACTTAAGATTAAATAATTGCTTGATTTTCCAAATCTTCTGTTTTCACACTTTTTGGTGTGATCGTCCACATCAGGCCCTGCCTGAACAAAGAGACCAAGTTACCTGATAAATACACTGAGTGCTGGAGTTCACTCTAAAGGTGACTGTTTTAAAGGAAGCGAAGCTCATACAATAGATGAGCAAAACCATACTGATAACCTTTAGATTTGAAAACAAACAAGATGGTCACAAAGAGCCTAAGGCTTTATTCAAACTTTCCGGCATCCGTTCTGTGCTGTGATAAAAGCAATACAGTGACACTCGAAGGAGTCGTGTGTGTTAAATTGCCTTGCTGTAATCACGTGTCGACAAGTGTATGAACACAAGAGGTTGATCCAATTAACTAAGAGCCCAGGAACAGGGATGCTGCAGCTTAAGATCAAGAAAAAGAGGGTGAAGTTGTCTTGCTCAATTGTGGAAAATAAGATCAAAGGTAGAGTAGATTTCAGTTTCATGGTACATCACTTCTGTTCATATACGGTGGTGTAGGTTGTGCTAAAAAATAATCGTGCTGCTTGTTGGTAACCGCTACTTTTCCAAGCAGGTGATCAACTAGATTAACAGAGGTAGCCTGTGTAATAAAAATACAACACATTTAAAGGATAGTCCTATCTCTGTATATTGTACAAAACCATTCCACACTCTTCAAGTAATGCTCACGGAGAACACTAAGCTTTTATTTTAGCATGAAGTGTTCTATCAAGCCTGCATGTTAGCGTCACTTTCTTCATGGCATGTGATCTCTGCACATCCGCACATCCTAGACTGTTTAACACCAGGAATGGAGTCTTTTCCTTACAAACTTGTACGTCACACCGCAGACATGTCTGGGCAGGGTAAGAGTGAATGCTGGCAATCAGGTTCATCTTGGACCTGTGTGAAGATTAGGGACACAGCCCCTGTTTTTGTAATTATGTAATGAAATTTCATACATCTGTATTTGTGCTTAGTTGCCAACCTCTATATCCTAAGTGTCTGGAAGGAAGGAGAAAAGGCCATGTGGAGCTCCCTTTAGATCTTCACACAGTCCAGGGCTGTGAAGATCTGTCGGCATGGGGCTGTTGTGTGAAGTGATTTGAACATCTGTAATCAGTGAGATGTACCATTTTAAAATAACCAAAACAGAAAAAGTAAAAGTTCTCAGATTTCCAGCAATACCTCTGCACCTTTAAAAAAAATCTAACTTGTGACTCCATGCATCAGAGATGGGTGTGTTTGTGCCTGTTCTATTTTGTGCTTGGTGTTTGATTCTCATTGGGTAGAGGCTGCCCATTCTAATATGACAGAGCTGTGTAGTCAGCTCAATAAAAGAGCTGCATAATGGGACAGTGGTCAATATCACTGGTAGGCTAGGTCACAGCTTAAAAATCAACAGAAAGCCTGTTTTTCAGTGGATCACAGTTTTATGTTTTGAACTCTGTTATGGTATGAGGAGATGCATCTATACTAGCCACAGTAAGTTTATAAAAACATTCTGAACACATTTTTGAAAAACAAGAACAAATGTCTGGACACTGAAAAATAATAGATTTGATACTTTCTTTGAAGGTCACTTGTTTCAATTTGGTTTTCAGAATTATTTCATGTTGTTTACACCAAACTGCAAGTGCAAGCTGTTCTTAAGTGTTTATGTGCTCCATGAGAATTTCAGTTCCACAACGGGAGATGTGCCACATTGTGCCTGCTCTTTGGTGAACAGGGCCAATAAAGGTGTCTCGATTTTCCTGTGTGTTGACATACTGATCATTTTCACACAAATAACATTTAATAAATAATACAGATACAATCTAACAATACAAATTAAACATATAAATGCCAGACTGCTTTGCTTCTCTTGCCTGGTACTGTAAAAGAAATGTAATGAGTTAGCTTCCACCTTCACTTTGGGAAGCTAGATATGTAACCTTAAGAGGGATGTTGGAGTCCAGTGATGCCGAAAGTCCAGTGGCCTGGGTGGCTAATGGACTGACTTTGCTTGTGGGCAACGGCCTTGAGCCTCTACACACATA